GCACATGACCAAGCTATAAAACCTTGTGAAGTATTTACCTTAAACACACTGATATTTAAGGATATAACATTATCCTTGTATTCTGCTGGAAAGACTTGACACATCTGTGCAAATTCCCCACCCCAGTCATGCAAGGTTCAAACCCCCTCCCCCTTCCATTCAGATGATGGTTATTCTGTAGGGAGGGAGGGGACATTGAAGTTTTGAATTGATTGTCACATAGGGGTAATCATTAATATTCTAATGGATAAGGATATATAAGGATAATTTATTTTCTGTCAGGTTCACAGGGAGTGGTTGCCCAGATGTCCTGAGCCAGGGGCTCATGATAAAAGGGACTGACATTACTAGATTCCTCATTCTAGGAAAAAAGATCAATTTTAATTCCCGGGGAAAAGGAAGGTGGCCTTAGTTTGACACTTCGGAAGGTTGAGAACATTGAACACACCTCAGTGGAATCCTGGAAGTGTTCTTGACTTCAAACAGCCTTGTTGATGCTGTACCTAAACAGGTCGGTTTGAAATAAACAGTTCCCTGTAAAACCCCAAAAAATTACCATCAGATATAAGATAGACATGGAAAGTCATGGACAGGTTCCAACAGAAATCACCTGGTTTTCAACTTAACATGAACTTTTTACTCTTATTAAGACAACAGAGATACTTAAATTAGCAGTAACTAATGGATTGGTAAATCTTAGTCAAAATATAACAAGGAGCTGTTCATAATTGATAACCATGCCATTATGGATTCAAATCAAAGAGTAATGGTTCAATCAAAAATGTCCAAAGATTACAACCTGATTATTGAGTTTTAGAGATGGAGTCTCTGCTGATCCAACAAGGCTTATTTCCTGTTTAAACAAAGTTCTAAAGTACTCAGTACAAAGTTTCATATATCACATGTTACAAAATAAATGTCACTTGCCAGACAAAAATTAGATTTGATTGTATGAACAAAATGTCATATCAGTTCTCTAAGTATGAAAACTTCTTCACACTTAATTTACAAGAGTTAAAATGACCTGAGTAAACTTTTGTGCATCATTCAGCTTACACTTCACTGTGCACCTAAATGCCTTAGCTTCCATTGGTGCCATTTTGAAAACAATCAACTGGAACAAAAAGACAAGGTTTTAGTATTCAATTACCCAAGATCAATTTGTTGACAAAGGAAACTAGAAAGTTAATCACTCTTGGGCTTAATAAACTAGCTAATTAAAGATCATTATAGGGAATAAAGGGAACAAATCTAAAAAAAAAAAACTGTCAGTAGTGCTGTATTAATAATCTGATTTCATCACATGACAGTTAAAAATATACATAGACCACCAAAAAGAGTTTCTACAGCTGACACTTCAACTATTAGCCCTTCATCACAGCAAATGATAAAATTAGTTAAAGATAAAAACAAAATACTAACCTGATATTTATCAGTAAGCAATCCAGTTCTAGGTCTACATGTAAACTCCCTAACAAAAGAAACAGGAACATTTAGAGTTAGCTCAGTATTGGGAATATAAAAATCAGTTAATAATAAAGTTTTTCCAACTTTCAAAAGCACCATTTATCGTTATAACAAAAGATCCTCTATTAGGAGCTTCTGTCTTCAATTTTCAATAAACAGGTTCAATTTTTGATATAATTGTCGAACGCCTATCTATAAGCAAAGATCTATTGATCATTGATATTTTGCTGTGTCGTAGGCCCTGTATTTTTGTTTGCAAAAGCCTGCAAATTCAAAATAAGCAGTTTGGTATGATTGCCACACACTAAACTACTGACTAACCTCACTAATTGCTCTAAAGCCACACCAGGAATTACTGGCCCGCTGTTATTTTTGTGCACACTTTGCTGGGCTCGGCTGTACTGTCACAACCTCAGGTGAATCTTTCCCAGTACAGCCCTTATGCTTGGTTGGTAAGAAGTAATTATTTAATTTACTTTTTTTGCTAAGGTTGCCACTTCCATTGGTTTCTTACAGAGTGCTATAACTTATTTCTCCTCTAGTTTCAACCATACTTGGTCCAGACCTGAGGTGGAAAAATAAAGATAAAATCTTACAATTTGTTTTGTACTTACCTTGATGGATTGTCATCAAATGCAAAATGGATCGGATTCTGCCCATTGTTGGTCAACAGCAGTGTTCTGTAGGACATGCCATCCACAGTAGTGGCTGGAAAGACCTAAACATTCCAAAACAAGGGACAAGTTACTAATCATAACCTTTGTCAACTAACAGAATACATACTGGCACCACCTAGTAATACATTATGGTGGACTAAAACTGTTTCTATCCATAAGTTTAGGAAGAGTGAGATAAAAGAGCATTATTCTAACAAGGGTAGTGTAGTAAAGCATTCCCCCCATTCACACCAGCAAAATTTTTTTTTTAAAATTAGGTTGACCTGAGTAACAATCAACTACAAAGAGCTGAAGAACTAAATTTACTAAGGCCAGGCCACAAGCTTATAAGTGTTTTATAAGTCAACTGCCACCCTTGAAAAATAAAGTTGATTAATATTTTATTTTTATTTTTTACAGAGGGTTCAAGCAATCACTAAATAAATGTTTATTTTTAGTGAGCTAAATTTGAAGTCACAAAATGTCAGTTTGAGAATCTTCAATGGGGAAAACATATCAAACCATGTTTGAAAAAACAGCTTTAACGTGTGTTTTAGCTTTGGTGTGAATGGCTAAATTATCACTTACCAGCTGTTGTACATCCCATTGACTTCTGGGGATAAATGATTCAGTCCGCATTGCAAATGTGAGTCCTAAAAATAAAATCCAATCAATTTTTTTCGGTGAAACAAGGAACTTGGATTCATTGATGTTTCATCAATGAAAATTCTAGATGTAACATCAAAACACTTAAGCTAATAACAGAATATGGAAACAAAAACAGAACTAAAGCCCTGTATCGTTGAATCTAACCATAAACAGAGTTCAGTTCAAATTACTTATTAAAGTTAATTTCAGCACAAACCTGTAGCACTGAGCGAAAGACACCAGGGAGGACACTTCAACCAGTCGATAATCTCTCATACTCTGTTCCAAAATACAAATAATATTATAATAACTATTGGTGTGACTCAATATCAAGGGCATACTTCACCTGATAGGCAGAGAATTAAACGTCAAAAAACATCTTAATGACACTATCAGAACTCTCAAGTTAATTGCCTGACAAAGAATAAGATTTTTTACCACAATTCCTAGCCTCTGATTGTGACACCATGGGTGTCCCCTTCTCGACAGAAGCGGAGGGAGGGGGGTGTGTATTTAAGGGAATAATCCCCTGGAAAATTGCAATAAAAAGTAATAGCAAGGACATGCATTTCTTCATTCTGAGTGATAACTTCCATTGCTGAAGTGTGAAGTGTTTGAAGCAAGTACAAAGGAAACAAGGAGTAA